AATTCTGAAATATCTTGCAAAACTAATCCGAATTAAATTTTTTGAATCAATGTGGGGAGACAATATAATAGTTTCATTAACCACTTCATTTTGCATGAATGCAAATACACAGAAACCTAATTCTGCTTTAGGATTCTAAAGCTAAGAAAACTTTGGGGCACAAAAAACAGCTCTACACACTTCACTGTCAGAAGAATAATATCAGAACTACTTAAAGAGTAAGGAGAAAATTAGAGCAAATCCAAAAGATTCTTGTTTTTACTTTGCACGTAAGTAACAGACTAAATTTCTGGTGTGGCACTGTAAGACAAACACAGTCTACTGCAAGGTTGGTTTGAACCAAAAGGTTGGTGGTTCAAACTCACCAGTTGCTCCTTGGAAACCCTATACTGAGTGACTATGAGTCAGAACTGATTAGATGACACTAAACAACAACAAATACTTTCCTATCCAGCAAGCTGGAGTGTGCAGGAAGAAGGGCATTAGGTTACATAGTATTCCTTCAACTTCATGCAAGATAAATAAAAATGTTGAGATTTCTCCCCTCTAATTTCTGGTAGCGTAGTGGTTACGAATCGGGCTGCGAACCTTAAGGTCAGCGGTTCGAAACCACCAGCTGCTCCGTAGGAGAAAGATCAGGTTTTCTACTCCCGTAAAGATTTACACGCTCGGAAACCCTGTACAGGGTTGCTATGGGTTGAAACCTACTCGATGGCACTTAACAACAACAACAATTTAGTGAAAATGAAAGGTGCTCTAAGGTGGGTCTGCAGGATGAGCACTGGATTTTGAACCACAAGGTCAGTGGTACCAGAACAACAGCTGCTCAGAGAGAGAAAAATGAGGCTTTCTGTTCCAACAAATTTTTACAGCCTCAGAAATCCTATACAGGGTCGCTATATGTTGAACCCACTGGACAGCACTTAACAAGAGGGTGGTGTAAAACAATCATTAGTTCTGGTAGCATAGTGGTTACGAATCCGAATCCGGCTGCTTATCTCACGGTCAACCAAACTAGATTTACAGCCTCGGAAACCCTATGCAGGGTCGCTATGAGTTGAAACCAACTCCACCACCACCCCCACTAATGTAAAGGTTGGCAATTTGCACCTATTCAGAGGTGCTTCAGAAAAGCAGCCTGGCACTGCTCCTGTTACGTTTACAGCCCACAGAACAGTTCTACACTGTGACACATGGGGTCATCATGAGTCAGAGGGTGTTTTTGCGTTTTGTTTTGTTTTTCTTTTAAGGTTTTCTAAGCAGCAAGAATTGATGCTTTTGAGTTATGGTGTTGGAGGAGAATATTGAAAGTGTCATAGGCTGCCAAAAGAACAAACAGATCTGTGTTGGAAGAAATGCTTTCAGAGTGCTCCTTAGAGGCCAGAATGGCCAAACTTTGTCTCTCGTACTTCCAACATATTGTCAGAAGGGACAAGTCTCTGGAGAAGGATATCATGTTTGGTAGGGTGGAGGGTCAGAGAAAAAGAGGAAGACCCCCAGCGAGATGGATTGGCAAAGTGGCAGCATCAATAGACTCAAGCGTGGCAACAATTGTGAGGTTGGCCCATGACCGGGCAGAGTTTTGTTCTATTGTGCATTGGGTAGCTATGAGTCAGTCCCGACTCAATGGCACTTAACAACAACAAGCAGCTGGAGCTCTGGTAGTGTAATGGTTACGAATCCAGCTGTGAACCTTATTGAAATTACCAGCTCTTCCGCAGGAGAAAGACTAGACTTTCTGCTCTCATTAAGATATATAGCTTCGGAAACACTTTACAGGGTTGCTATGAGTCCGAACCAACTCCACTGCACATCACGTCGAAGCAGCTAGAGGGGTCTTGGTGAGGCACTGTAGGATAAGCACTGGACTGCTAACTACAAGGTTGGCAGTTCAAACCCACCATTTGCTCCTTGGAAACCCTATTTGTTGTTGTTGTTGTTGTTAGGTGTCATCGAGTCTGGACTGACTCATAGAGACCCTATGCACAACAGAACGAAACACTGCCGGTCATGGGCTAACCTCACTACTGTTGCCACGCTTGAGCCCATTGATACTGCCAATCCATTTCGCTAGGGGTCTTCCTCTTTTTCTCTGACTCTCCACCTTACCAAACATGACATGCTTCTCCAGCGACTGATCCCCATACTGGGTTGCTATTAGTGGAAACTGACTCGATGGCACTTACCAACAACAACAGAAGCAGCACAAGTTCCTAAGTTAAAGTCCATTTAATACTTTGACTCCTGACTGTCTTGCAAAGCTGCAGTTCTCTGGGAGAATATACTCAACTGTCTCACAGAAACACTCAAGTGATTTGAAGTGCCACAGAGAATGCGTTTATTTCACCTGTTCCACCCAAATTTGCAGCCAGACATTGGCATCATGGTCGTTGGTCCCCAGCATCACGTTGTTCTTAAGTGTTGTTGAGTCTATTCTGACTCATAGAGACCCTGCCTAGGGCTTCAGAGGAGCGGCTGGTGGGTTTCAACCACAGACCTTGTGGTCCAGTGCATTACCCTGTAGCGCCACACCACGATTTCCCTATACCAGCACCATGTTGTTGTTAAGTACCATGAGCCTGTGTAGGGTTTCTGAGGCTGTAAATCTTTAGGGAGCAGACCGCCTCATCTTTCTCCCGTGGGACCGCTGGTAGTTTCGAACTGTCAACCTTGAGGTGAGCAGCCCAATTCGTAACCACTATGCTACCAAAGCTCCTAGCCTTGGTTACCAGACCCTTGGCCTCAGTAAATGCTGGGATATTTTCTAAACTAGGTACTTCATCTCGCGTTCAAAACGGAATCATTCTGCAGTCTGAAGAGATAGTAGGAAAAGATACCTACTGTGGCGTTTAAATTATAAATAATCTATTTTAAAAACAATTTCATTTTTTTTTACCTGCGACCTAAAGCACGTTTTGGAAAGCAACCCCTTCTGCTTGCGAAGTGTGCTGGGAAAGAAAGCAGCCGAGGTCCGGCGCCAGACGATCGCCTCCTGGTGGTGTATCGGACCATAAATGCAGCGGCGCCTTAGTGCATTCGGCAGCTCAATGGTCTCCTGCGTCAAGCGAGCAGCCGAGGCAGGAAGACCCCACTGTAGTGCGGTAGAGGCTTGGGGGACGTTGTAGGGGGGGCCAACGTAGTCCTGTCCACCCTTATTCAAGAGGTGAGGGAACGTAGATAAGCGTGCAGAAATAACGCTCGCTACTTCTCCTGCCAAGGCTAGTTCCAAGCCAGGTTGGCGGGGGAGAGTTCTGGAAAAATAAGAAGAAAGTAGGGCGAGAGCGCAGCAAGGCAGGGACGGCGTTGAGGACTTTTTAGAACGAGATATCTGAAGAAGCCAGCGAGTGCCTGATAGTTGAGAAAAGTGATCCAGCACCAAACTCTAACATTGATTCAAAAACATCGCTTAAGAGGCAAATTTGCAGGTGCCATTAGGGAGTATTGAACCTACAGCAGGTACTTCCTTCTAAAACAAAATTATTTTGTAACAAATTAGGTAGAATATATTAAGGGTGTGTACATTTTAACTTCCTACTGGTGCTTCCACGTGTAAGCACATTTCTGAATTAAATGAACTGCAATTACAGGAGAATGTATGCATACATTTCCTACCTTTGTATTTCTATTTATTCTTAACTGGGAAAATACAATCCACCTTCGAAACTGACAGTAGGATTTTCTTAAACTGTTCTAGGTAAAAAAAAAAAAAAAGTAGACACATAAATGAAGGATGATTTCAGGTTAAATGAAGGAGGAAACCTGCAGTGAAAATCTCCCCACTTCAGAAACCCATAATGTAGCTCTGAAATAAGTGTGTATTAATGAACTAGCTAATTTCAAAAAGGCTTACATTTTATAATTTTCTTACACTAAACAAATCACTAACAATGACCTTCAAATGCCTCCATCTATGGCCAGCCCTCTTAAAACCAAAACGTATTAAACCTATTAAACCGAAAAAACGACAAATCTAAACAAAGACCAAACCCTAGTAACACCATAAGGGACTTGAAACCCGAATCTGCATTCCGTTCCTCCCGTCCTTCGCTGAGGTGGGGGAGGCGGTTTGTGCCGGTGCCTAGTGTATAATCGGGTTAATCCAGTAGACAAAGAATAAACCAATAGCCCTCCCACCTCACTTCCCGCTCCCTTCCATTCTCCTCTTCCTCTCCCTGTCGACTCTCCCTCACCCCCCTCTCCTCACAGAAAAGGGGAGAGGTGGACTTGAAGTCCGTTCCGGATAAAGTCTTAAAACCTGCAATTTATTTTTAATGCTGGCATTGCATAGCTGGGATTACTTTTGAATGTTCACTCTGCATTCCTAGTGGCGGAGAGAAACTTTCATAAATTAGTTCGAGCCTATGGCTTGTCCTCTTAGCCTTTGGGAAAATCTTAAGGTCAGTGTTTCCTTGAACTAGATACACTGACCCTGTCGTGCTTTGCCAGGCCCCGCGAGCGCCTCGCGTGACGGTGCCTAGGCTGCAATACTGGTTAGAGGACGCGCGAGGCGGCGCGGTTGCCCTTTTGAATGCCTCCTGCGGCTCGGAGCGCTGGCGGGCGCTGGAGTGTGAGTGAATGTAGCCCCGCGGAGCCAATGAGCTGGGACCGGATGCGATATATCCTCTGGGACAACAACTGCTCTGTTCCGCCTCGGATCCACATGACGCCATTTACTGCTGCCGCGGCCGCCGCAGAGCTCCCTGCCTCCTCCGGAAAGACGAGGGCGCAGGCCAACGGCGAGCCCCCCCCGACCGGGCCACAGGCCCACCTCCTCCTCCTCCGCACCCACCGCCCCTGCCTCGGCCTCACCGCCGCGCCTCCGCAACGCCCAGTCTGCACGGCCGAAAGCTGAGCGCGGCAGCGCGAGCGGAGGAGAGGGGCCGGCGGAGCGCGCAGCGCCCAGGCCCCCGCGCCCGCCCGGCCCAGCCCGCGCCCACGCGTCGCCTCTGCTCTGACACAGCTCAGACCGCACGGCTTGGCGATCTGTGTTTAGGTTTTCTGTAAGGCCGTTTTCGTCTCATTGGCTCTTCTGCCAGGAAGAGGGACTCGCCGTTGGCGTTTCGGCCTCCTGTTCATTGAGAAAAAAGAGGAAATACTCCGCGTGCGCTTTTAGAAGGGGGGGTCGCCTCTAGCCTCTCTAACACCAGTGTTCATCGGCGGGGGACTTGACTCCGGATTTTATTTTACCTTTTTCCACCGATTGGTCGAAAGTTGGACTGAAGCAGAGTTTGGAAAGAAGGGGAAAAGTTTGCGTCGAGGTTGGATTTATTTGCACATTGCAGAAAGAAGAGCGTCCAAGGGAGAGGAGTTGTTGCAAAGCAGCGATCACGGTGAGGCGCGTTCGGCTCTTCTGGCGGGGTAGCCGGAGTGTCGCGGGCAACATGGAGTAGGTGCAGCTGGACTGGGAGTGGGGTCCGTTTCTCTTCTGGCCGCCCTTTTTGTAATCCTGCAGGTTCTCCCACAGGGATCCCAGCTCGGCCTGTCTTGGTTGGGACTGCCGTGCACACTCTGCACAGAGTCCCCGCGTCTTCCTTAGCCTGGCGACCCCGTGCGCCCGCGCTCTAAGGGGGTTAGGACGATGAACTACTCGTCTGGAGTCAGCTCCTGTCTCTACGAGGACGACGAATTGGGCGCTGAGAGCGGGTAGAGAGGGAAAACATTCTGTGTTTTGCAGGCGTCAGGATTTATAACCTGTTTCTTTTCTCTTGGGAAGACTAATCCTAGTCGAGACTGTTCCTAGGCTGGGGCGCCGACGGGCCGAGGGTGCATGGGTGGAGGGAGCCTGGAGCCCCTTCCTTTGCTTGCTCTGGACTGGGACAGAGGTGAGCTGTGTGCGGGTGCGAGCGTCTCCCTGCCAGACGCGGTGTCTCTGCGGTTCGGAAATTCAGCTTACTCTTTTTTCCGTTCTCCGCGGTCGGCTTGGGTCACGCTTTCTTTCTTATTATTAAAGTTTGTGTTGACCCAGCACAGGAAGAAAGTCATCAAGTGGTAGTAGCGATCATTTTCCATTATGTGAAAATAGGTCTCAAAAGACGTTTGTGTGTGTGTGTGTTTTCTCCTTTGATGGGCAGATCTACTTTGTTGTTGCTATTTTTGAATTTCGGAATCTTATGTTTTTACAAGCGGTTTCGGTGTGAATTTGCATCACCCTAGTGCGGAAGTCCTTTCCTCCTAATCCATAGTCCGATCACACACTGTTCTTAATGGGGGTTTCAAAGCACTTTAAGAGGCGGTGGGGAGGACTGAGGGCACGCAGTGTGTCAGGGTTAGGGTGGGGAAGAAGGTGGCCAAGGATAGTAGAAATCACTTTAGGGAGAAAAAAATGTGTATGTATATATATATATATATATATATATATATATATATATATATATATACAAAACACACTTTTGTTTTTTCCCTAAAATGCCACTTTCCTCTACAAGCAAATCTGCCGCTGAAAGTTTCCAGCTCTACAGGAGTGTGCAGTGGCGCTTTGGAAAGTTCCCTCTCTTAAAACAACTTTCGCTTTAAAAAAAAGTCTGTGTGTGTTGTGTGTTTAATTTCTCTAGATCTGAAAGGAGATAGATAGGCGTTTGCAAATTGCAGGCAGTGCCCACTTGAGTCAGTGCAGCGTGGAGGCGCAGTGTGTCCGAGGTTAAGTCTCTGTGTCAGGGCTGTGTACTCAAAGACTAGGCTTTCTTCCTCACGGTGTTGGTGCTGGAAACTGACGACCAACGCTCAAGGGCCTCTCAGAAACGCCCTGCGTTGCACGGCTGTGTGGCCCTAGCCTGGGAACGGAGTTGCTCCCTCTTGGGAATGGAAGGCAGTTCTGTGTAGGGGAAATGGGAGTGGGGGGCGGCGGAGGGGAAAGTGTGTTCCTGCGTTTCGTGACACGTACCTTTTGGCGGCGCCCGTCC